TGTACCAGTGTACATCCTCTGGTCTAGCCAGACTTGCAAGGTCGAATTCTAGTCATGGTAGTGGGAGCGGGGAGGAAACATTTAGGAACTAGAGGAAAGTTGTAAATTCTTTGCTCTTTTTAGTGATCATTTCTCTCATCAGTTATAGATTGTGGAATTGTCCTCAAGCTCACACAATTTTGGCTTTCCATTTCTTTTATTCTATTACACTGCTTTTTGCCATGTTGTCTAATTTTATTATCCTATGTATTTTCTGGAATTCTATTTGGTTTAGGGTTTCTAGTTTTTCTATTTTTTCCATTGTTCTCTAGAACATCTCCTATATCTTTTGAATGTACCTAAATATCACTTTGGAATTTCACTTCTGGTAATTCCAGGGCTTTTTCTTCAGTTTATTCCTTTGGACTTGTGTGTTTTTTTGGTTGTTTTTGCTTGTTTTCTGTGTGTGTGTGTGTGTGTGTGTGTGTGTACTATGATTGGCTACTGTTTTCTTGGCATTGTGGTGCAACAGTTAATGTTGGGAGGACTGCTGCGTGATGTGGGAGTAGTTGCCTTTATCTTACCAGGGCACAGAGTTGGCCAGGGGCCTCCTTGCCAGGGCATACAGATATCCAGGGACTTCCTTGCTGTGGTTTGGGGACAACCAGGGCCACCTTTTTCCAGGCACATAGCTAGCTGGGGTATGGGGCTACCTGGAGCATTCTTATTTGGGATACAGGGTCAGCCTAGGGGGTCCTTGTCAGAGATTAGGCCCAGTTTTATATTTTCTTCCTAGGGTGCAAGGCTGTTTATGGCCTTCCCTTTCAGGACACAGAGACAAACAGGGCCTTCTTTGCCAATATGTGGAAACTCCTGAAGGTATCCTTACTGGGGCCTGGGAATGGCCAGGGCCATCCATACTGGGATGCAGGGCCATCCTGGGCCTTCCATGCCTGGACATCAAAATAGTTTGGACTTTCCTTTTCAAAACATTATTATTACTCTATTATATAACATTTCAGTGCATTTGGAAGGGATCTTTTAATTTGTTATGCATAGGAAGGTATTCTATGTCCTATGTACTAAGACAAACATTGACCGACTGACCTGAGATATGAACTGTACCTTTGTCCCAACTTAACATACAAACTTAACTTGAAAGACTGATTCAGAAACAGAACTTGTATGTAATCTAGGGATTGCCTGTAATAAATTGATTCTGTGCTAACATTTTTATTTGGACAAGCTGTAAAACTCATATGTTTGGGGGACTACAAAGGCTAACAGGATTTTTATTTCTCAATAGTTTCTTAATACTTGCTTTCACAGCCAGAGGCGGTTTTTCTTTCCATGCATTTTACAGTTTGACAACTTTCTAAATGCAAATGAGCCATTTTTGTTTTCCAGAAATGAGAATTAAATGAAAACAAATGTTTCTGCCTATCTTTGAATCGTAACACCTTCTAGCAGACATTCTTATGTAAGTTTTGTCTGTTGTTGGTTTTCTGCCTTTGAACTGGCATTTTCATTGCTTCTACATAGGCACACATATCCACTTCCAGAGAACAGAGATAGTAAGTAGAAATAGGAAAATATTGTATTTAAGTACCTTTTATCTTTCAAAATAACATCAATTATGTGTCCATTTAGCTCATGCTGAATGTGAACTGACTGTTGTGAGTTTAATCATTCAGCACTGTTTTTTATTAATATATCTTTACCCTTCAAACAATGACAAATGACAAGATTTATAGATTGTAAATTTTCCATGGAAAAAATGAGCTACCTTTGTGAAAATAATGCAGAAATATTACATAAGTCTACTTTTATTTTATATTTCTAGTCTTACTCAACTTTTGGTCAGAGTGACTGGAAACTTCAATAGTGCCTTAATAAGGAGGATAAATGGAAAGAAAACTGTCGGAAAGTTATCATTTACCATCAACTTCAATTTCATTTCACTTTTTGGTCATTTCAGAAGGGTTTATTTTCAAATCAAACTAAGTTCTATGAAAATAAAATCATATTATTTTACTGTCTAATGCCATCTAAGACTATTTAATACATATTTATAGGAGAGGGAGAGGAAATATATTTGAAAATTTTGTAATGTTTACAATATTCTTACTAATTAATAAGATGAAAATTTTCCATAAATGTAGTGATAATTTGTGAAAAGCTGCCCACAACCTGTTAAAGACTATACCCTTGTTATAGGTGGCCCCAGAAGAATTTAAGACCAGCATTGGCCGTGTAAATGCATGTTTGAAAAAGGCTCTTCCAATCAATGTGAAATGGCTGCTGTGTGGTTGTCTCTGCTGCTGTTGCACACTGGGTTGCAGCCTGTGGCCGGTAATTTGTCTCAACAAAAGAGTAAGTAAACAGTTTTTCATATAATAATGCTAAGAGATAACATTTAGAACTTAGGATGTACCAAGAACTGTTTCCAACTTCTTAATATAATTTATTTAATTCTCATAACAATATTATCCTCAGAGATAAGGAATCTCAGGGACAGAAAGATTAAATTTTTTATTCAACACTTTATCATATAATATGAGAGGGTACCCAAAAAAACGCAATTTTATTTTCTTGCTAAGCTATGTACTGAAATTTTTTTACAAAACAACCTTAGCACCTGCAAAGTACTTTCCGTTGCACTTAATACATTTGTCAAATCTGCGATTCCATTCTTAGAAACATTTTTCAAACTCATCTCTTTGGATAGCTGGCAGCACCTCCCTTATTTTTTTCATCACCTCTTCTATGTCATCAAATCACTGTCCTTTCATGTCCCTCTTCATTCCCAGAAACAAAAAGAAGTCACACGGAGCAAGGTCAGGTAAGTAAGGCAAGAGAGGCATGCTGTTTTCTTGCCCAAAACTGAGATGGCTGCGTGAACAGATGCATTGTCATGGTGGCAAAACCAGTCCCCCATCTGCCACAAAGCAGGTCCTTTTTTTGTACACTGTTACACAATATTTTTAGAACCGCCAAATAGAAAGCTTGATTAAGCCAGACCTAGTGGAATGTACTCCAAATGCACTCTCTCTCACACATCAAAAAAACAAATGAGCATTGTCTTGATCCTTGATTTCACTTGATGAGTTTTTGCGGGGTGAGATAATGATCACGTCTCCCAGTAGCAGTATGGATATTTCCTTTGGGGATCATAAGAATAGCACCATGTCTCTTCATTAGTAATAACCTTGGGGAAAAGTCTTGTTGTTTCAGAGCTGATCTTTCAAAGCACAGTATGTTTCCAGTCAACGCTTTTTTCCTGGTCACACCAGAACCCAAGGTAAAAATTTCACAGCCACCCTTCTCATTCCCAAATCTTCGCTGAACTATGCTCCAAGATTGTTGAGATAACTTCCCCAAGTCTTTGAAGGTTCGTCATCGGTCTTTGAGCACAAGTGCATGAATTTTGTTGACATTTTCATCCATTCGGGAAGTTGATGGACGTCTAGAACGAGGTTCTTCATCAATTGACATTTCACGTTTTGAAACGAGAAAACCATGCATGCACTTGAGTTTTTCCCATAGCACTGCCCTTGTAAGTTGTGTGAAACATCACAACAGCTTCTGCAGCAATTTTTCCTGAGCAAGAAACAAAATTTCATGGCCACACACTGTTCTCTTAAGCCATCACAAAAAAACAAGATTCTAGTGAAACTGCTTTTACAAAAAAATTCACTGTGACCAGAGAGAACCTTCCCAGACTACGCCCCTGTGTGCACTAACTCAGAGCAAGTTGCTCAATGCTCGCCTAGCAGGAAAAATACCCTTTACCCACTAGTTCTTTCCTCTATTTCCTTTTAATTTCCTCTTGTCCCATTATCATGTTCAGCCTTCATTTGGGTTTTGGTATTCCATTTCGGCTACATTTCCCTTGATCAAATCTGACCAGGCATCCTGTGCACTCCTCACCATTGATTTTAGATCGCTTCTGGTTCCCTTGTCCCTGGGTTTGTCAGCACCCCACTTTCTTTCCCCCTGCTTCCCCCTCTCCCGTGTGCCCCCGGAACTATCGGTTCTGTTGTTTTCTCTTCCATATTGTTTGCCCCACCTATCTTATCTAGATAGACATGTAAAGACAACAATAAGCAAAAAAAGCAAAACAAAACACCAAAAGAATAACAACATCAACAAATAAAAACCTATAAATAATTCCAGGTCTGTTTGTTGACCTTTATGAGGGTTTTCCAGTAGAGTCTGATGGAATGCCATGCCCTAGCTCCAGTCTATTTTGGGTATTCCTTGAGGACTTCATTGCTTTGCTCCCCTTGCTGCTCTATTGCACACCCTTAGTGTTTTGCCCTGGTGTGGTGGGTCAGATCAGGCACAATTCCTGCATTGTGTCTCCAGTGTTGTCCCCCATAGTGCTATGGGTCAGTGAAGGATATCGCATCTCCTGGTGGGGCCGGCCCTATGGTCCTCTCTGTGCATTGGCCACTCTCAGTAAGAATATCATCCTCAAGGCTTGGTAAGCCAGGATCTGTTCCACTCTCTCCCCTTCCCTCTTCATTTGCTCCTGTGTGCTCTGATCAGACATGTCCCTCTCCCTGAGCTGTAGCTTCAGTGCTGTCCTCTGCAGTGCATTTTTCAAAGGGGGGGAGGGCACGTAGCTAGGATTGGGGCTGATCTTGTAGACCTCTCTATTGGTTTGCGGCTTCATGCCAGTATGTTGCATTCACATCTTGGCACCACAGGTTGAAGTCTGGTCCCTCTCTCCCTCTCCTGTGGAGATATAAACAATACCCTCCCCTTGGGTAGTATAGTACCCTGTTCCCCTGCTACCAGTGTCTTTTTGTTTTTTCTTTCTTTTCCCCTCCTTTTTAGTTGGCTGCCATATGTATCCCTGGATTGTTTCTGGCTCCTGCCATAGTATCTGAACCTCACCCCAGGAAAGTATGCATATAGTAGCTTTTGCCCTATGCCCCTTTTGCTTTTTAAGCTTACCTCAGTGGACTTCTGTTGTACTTGTCCTTTGTGCTTGGCTTACTTCCCTTAGAATAATTTCCTCCAATTCTTACCATGCAGCGATGTGCTTCATGCGTTCATCACTGCATTTTAGGGATGTGAAGTACTCGATTATATGTATGTACCACAGTTTTTTAATCATTCATCCGTTCATGGAAATTTGGGTTGTTTTCAACTCCTTGCGGTTGTGAACTCCTCCTGATGAACATTGGAGCACAGATGTCTGGCTGTGGTTTGTGGTTTGTTTCTTGTCTCTTCTGGGTATATGCCCAGAAGGCAGATTGCTGGTTCATGTGGTAGCTTGATTTCCATCTGTTTTAGATCACCAAATCGATTTCCATAATGGCTGTAAATACCTACAGGTCCACCAGCAGTGGACCAGAATTCCGATCTCCCCACAGCCCCTACAACATTTGTTACTTTCTGATTTTTTGAATTGGGCTATCTTTCAAGGTGTTAGGTGATATCTCATAGTTGCTTTAATTTGCATTTCTCTTATGGCTAATGATCAGGAACATTTTCTCAGATGTTTATTGGCCATTCGGATTTCTACCCTTGTGAAATTTCTATTCAGGTCATTTGCCCACATCCTCCGTGGGCAGTTATTTTGTTTTTGTTTTTTTAATTGTAAGCTTGCAAAGTATTGTAGATTTTAGTAATAAGGCCTTTGTCTAATGTGTCATTGCTAAAGATGTTTTCCCAGTCTGTGGGCTCTTATTGCTCTCTTGGTGAATTCTTTCGATGTACACAGGTGTTTTATCTTCAGTATATCCCACTTGTCAATTTGTGCCTCAACTGTGCCTGTGTCCTTCCCTATTTCCGATAGCCTATGTATTCCTTGCACCAAAGTTCTCCTGTTTGTCCCAATTCCCTCACTGATGGCCCTAATAGTTTGTAGAAGGAGGGTGGGGTTGAAAGGGGGAACCGATTATAAGGTTCTACAAGCATGGGATAGTTTTCCAATTATTGAGGTCACTCTTGGTTTATGGTAATAGTGTTTTGTAGTTTTCCTTGTACAAACCTTTTGTTTTTTCAGTGCAGTATATCCTTAGATATTTGGGTTTGTGCTTGGCTATTGTGAAGGGTACTACCTTTTTGATCCCCTCTTCCATGGTCTTGTCTGATGTGTGTAGCCTTTCGATAGACTTTTGTTTGTTGATCTTGTATCCTCTGTCACTCTTCCAGATTGCTCTATTGCTTCCAGCATTCCCTTTGTGGAGTTTTTGGGATTTTCCATATATAAAATCATATCATCTGCGAATAATGATAATTTCACCTCTTCCTACCATAGACAAATAACTTTGATGTCATTTCTTTGCCTTATGTTGTTAGCTAGGACCTCCAGAACAATGTTATATAAAAGTGGGGACAAAGGGCAATCTTGTCTGGCCCCCTATTCAGTGGGATTGTTTTCATCTTCTCTCCATTGACTACCATGCTAGCTGTTGGTTTTTCATATATAGCTCATATTATATTGGGGAATTTCCCTTCCATTCTTATCTTCTTGAGTGTCTTAAACAGGAATGGGTATTGGATGTTGTAGAATGCTTTTTCTGCATCTATCGATATTATCATGTGGTTCTTATAATTTTTCATGTCAATGTGGCGAATAATACTAATGGTCTTTCATATGTTGAACCATCACTGGTATGAATCCCACGTGGTCGTGGTAAATTATTAGTTTTACAGTTACACTAGCTTCATAGAAAGAGTTTGCTATCTTTTTCTATGTTCTTGACAAGTTTCTGTTGGATTGGTGTCAATTCTTCCCTGAATACTTGGTGAAATTCTCCTGTGAAGCCAGCCATCTGGCCCAGCGGATTTTTTTGTTGGTAATCCCATGATAAACTTATATGTTTCTTCTATTGCTGTGGGTCTTTTGAGATTTTTTTATGTCCATCAGGGACAGTCTAGGGAAGGATTATTTTTCCAATTATTTGTACTTGTCTTCCAAGTCGTTGAATTCATTGGAGTGCAGACCTTTACAGTACTGTATAATTATCCTTTTGATTTCATTAGGGTTCATTGTAATGTTCCCTGTTTCATCCCTCATCTTTGCTATTGAAATTTGTTCCTTCCTTTCTTTGGTTAGGTTTGCCAGCGGTCTATCAATTCTGTTAATCCTTTCAAAGACCCAACTTTTAGCTACATTCATTTTTTCCATACTTTTCTTGTTTTCATCTTTTGGAACGTTTGGTTGACGAATTTCACAGGTCTCTCATTGGACTTGTATGTATTTATTATGCTCACTGGTTTTTGGTCTACTGTTCCCTTGATCATTAAATAGTGCCCCTCCTTGTCTCTTGTTATGTTTGCGCCCTGAGATCTCTTTTGCCCGAGATTAGGACTGCAACCTCTGCTGTTTCTGAATTGCCATTTACTTGATATAT